ATCTCCTTTTTAACAAATTTTTGTAGATTCTTTTGTCGCTTTTTGTGGCCTTTTTTGAATTTTATGTTTTTTCTCGCTTTTTATTCTTACGCTTTTTTACTTTTTTTTGTATTTTTTGTACCATTTCAGTTGATTTTTATTGTTTTTTGTGTCACAACTTTTTTCGCTATATAAGTTTTTTTTGTCGCTTTTTATGGCCATCGTTCGCCGTCTTTTCGATCCATTTTTTTCTTAACTTTTTGTGAATTATTTTTATCGCATTTTTTGTTGCATTTTTTGTCTGTTTTGTTTACCGTTTTTTTGCCCCGTTTTCATTCCCTTCTTGAACCCTTTTTGACGACTTTTTTTCACTCTTTTTAATAATAATGATTTATTTAACGGTTAGACCAGTTACAAAAAATGGAAAAATATGTAAATAAATAACACACATTAACCACTTTTTTCTGAATTCTTTTGTCGCTTTTTTTTAGGTTTGTTTGTGGCTTTTTTGTCTTTTTTGTTTCCTTTTATTCTCACATTTTTTGCTCTTCTTTTTTAAATCGTGTTTTTTGTTGCTTTTAGTCGTTTTTTGTCCCTTTTCTTTTGTGTTTCACTTTTCTAATCGACCTCTTTTATCGTATATTTTGTGGTCCTCCGTTGTCGTCTTTTCTGCCCTTTTCTTCTTGCTTTTTTTTTTCAACGTTTGTTAATCTATTTTAACGCATTTTTTAGTTGACATTTTTGTCACATTTGTTAGTTTGTTGTTCTCCTTTTTTGTTGCCTTTTTTTCGTGTGTTGTCTTTTTCATTGCATTTTTTATGACTTTTTGTTAGCGCATTTTTTGTTTCCCTTTTCACGCCTTTTTTGACGTACTTTTTTTATATACTTTTATTGGCTCTTTTTTGTCAGTTTTTTCATCATTCATCTTTACCGCATTGTTGTGTCTTTTAGTCTTTCTTTTGGCGGCCCTTTTTTACAGTTTTTAAAGCTTTTTTTGTCGAACTTTGCGAAGTGGATTTATTTTACCGCAGCTTTTGATGGATGCCTTTTTTGTGTGTGTTTTTTTATGCATTTTTTGTGAGTTTTGTTAGTTTTGTGTCTCTTGTTTCGTTTTTTACTGCAGTTTTTTTGTAGTCTTTTTTGGTCTAGTATTTTTTTAATAGCCTTTTTATTGTCGCCTATTTTGTGGCATTTTTTATCATCCTTTTTTACCGCGTTTAGTGAATTTTTTATGTTTTTTTTTGTGGGTTTTTCTGTGTATTTTTAATCGTCTTCTTTGTCCCCTTTTTTGTTTCACAGTTTAGTTGACTCTTTTTTGTCGCATTTTTTTTCTGGACCTCCTTTCTCGGCATTTTTGCAGTTTTTACCTCCTTTTTTGTCTACGTTTTTGTGATTTTATTTTTGCGCTTTTTTTCAAGTTGCCATTTTGTGTAACTTTTTTTTACCGTTTTTTGTGGCCCCTTTCCTTTATTGCCTATTTTTCCGCTTTTTATCGCCTTAAATCACTCTTTTTTTATTGCATTTTTGTGGATTCTTTTGTCGCTTGTGTTTGTCAAGTTTTCTTTGCTTTTTTTTTGAATCGCCTTTTTGTGTTTTTGTTTGTATTGTTTTTGTCCTCTTTTTTTATCACCTCGTTTATCGCAGTTTTGTGAAAACTTTTGTTTGCTTTTTGCGGCTTTTTTGACTTTTTTTTGTGTTTTTTAAGTTTTTTTCATGTTTTTTTTCTTTTTTTAATGGCTTTTTTTGTCGACTTCTAGATTTTTTTTGTCGTTTTTACTTGTGTCGCAATTTTTGTCACCCTCTTTTGTTGTCTTTATGTTCTTTTTTCTTATCTTTTATTGTCAAAGTTTTTGTGAGGTTATTTTGTCGCATTTTTTGGTTGCTATTTTTTGTCGCTCTTGTTCGCCGCTTTTTTGTTCCCCCTTTTCTTTATTGCCTACTTTCCCGTTTTTATTGCCTTAGATCACTCTTTTTTATCGCATTTTTGTGGATTCTTTTATCGCTTTTGTTTGTCAAGTTTTCTTTGCTTTTTTTTAAATCGCCTTTTTGTGTTTTTGTTTGTACTGTTTTTGTCCTCTTTTTTTATCACCTCGTTTATCGCAGTTTTGTGAAAACTTTTGTTGGCTTTTTGTGGGTTTTTTGACTTTTTTGTATTTTTTAAGTTTTTTCCTGTTTTTTTGTTCTTTTTTTAATGGCTTTTTTGTCGCCTTCTAGTTGTTTTTTCTCGTTTTTACTTGTGTCGCAATTTTTGTCACCCTCTTTTGTTGTCTTTATGTTTTTTTTCGTATCTTTTATTGTCAAACTTTTTGTGAGGTTATTTTGTCGCATTTTTTGGTTGCTATTTTTTGTCGCTCTTGTTCGCCGCTTTTTTGTCCTCCCTTTTCTTTATTGCCTACTGTCTCCTTTTTATTGTCTTAGATCACTATTTTTTATCGCATTTTTGTGGATTCTTTTGTCGCTTTTGTTTGTCAAGTTTTCTTTGCTTTTTTTTTGAACCGCCTTTTTGTGTTTTTGTTTGTACTGTTTTTGTTCTCTTTTTTATCACCTCGTTTATCGCAGTTTTGTGAAAACTTTTGTTTGCTTTTTGTGACTTTTTTGACTTTTTTGTATTTTTTAAGTTTTTTCACGTTTTTTTGTTCTTTTTTTTAATGGCATTTTTTTGTAGCCTTCTAATTGTTTTTCCTCGTTTTTACTTGTGTCGCAATTTTTGTCACCCTCTTTTGTTGTCTTTATGTTTTTTTTCTTATCTTTTATTGTCAAAGTTTTTGTGAGGTTATTTTGTCGCATTTTTTGGTTGCTATTTTTTGTCGCTCTTGTTCGCCGTTTTTTTGTTCCCCCTTTTCTCTATTGCCTACTTTCCCGTTTTTATTGCTTTAGATCACTATTTTTTATCGCATTTTAGTGGATTCTTTTCTCGCTTTTGTTTGTCAAGTTTTCTTTGCTTTTTTTTTGAATCGCCTTTTTGTGTTTTTCTTTGTACTGTTTATGTCCTCTTTTTTTATCACCTCGTTTATCGCAGTTTTCTGAAAACTTTTCTTTGATTTTTGTGACTTTTTTGACTTTTTTTTGTATTTTTTAAGTTTTTTACGTTTTTTTGTTCTTTTTTTAATGGCCTTTTTTGCCGCCTTCTAGTTGTTTTTTCTCGTTTTTACTGGTGTCGCAATTTTTGTCACCCTCTTTTGTTGTCTTTATGTGCTTTTTTCTTCTCTTTTGTTGTCAAAGTGTTTGTGAGGTTATTTTGTCGCATTTTTTGGTTGCTATTTTTGTTGCTCTTGTTCGCCGCTTTTTTGTTCCCCCTTTTCTTTATTGCCTGCTTTCCCGTTTTTATTGCCTTAGATCACTCTTTTTTATCGCATTTTTGTGGATTCCTTTGTCGCTTTTGTTTGTCAAGTTTTCTTTGCTTTTTTTTTTAATCGCCTTTTTGTATGTTTTATGTACTTTTTTGTCCCCTTTTTTTATCACCTCTTTTATTGCAGTTTTGTGAAAGCTTTAGTTGCTTTTTGTGACATTTTTTATGGCTTCTTTTTTATTTTTTATGGTTTTGTTTTCACAGTTTTTTGTTCTTTTTTTTGAATCGTCCTTTTTTGTCGTCTTCTAGTCGTATTTTTATCGTTTTTCTTGTGTCACATTTTTTGCAATCCTCTTTTGTTGTTTTTATATTCCTTTTTCTTGTCTTTTATTGTCGAAGTTTTTGTGAGGTTATTTTGTCCCTCATTTTTGGCTGCATCTTTTTGGATTCTTTTGTGTGCCCTTCTTTCTCTCTTTTTTCCTTTTACGTATTTCGTTCTTTTTTCAATCCCCGGTTCCTCTTTTTTGTAGCTTTTTAGTTGTTTTTGTTGTCTTATTTTTTGTGTCCCAGTTTTTTTTTTTTACTTTCTTTTACTCGACTTTTTTGTCGCACTTCTTGTGGCCCAACTTTTCTTTTTTAGTCCTTTTTTTTCTCAGCTTTTTTTATCGAAATTTTGGTGATTTTTGCTCATTTTTTGGCTCCTCTTTTGTGTTTTTTTTCTCATGTTGTCTTTTTATCTAATTTTTTGTGAATTTCTTAGTCGCGTTATTTTAGCCTCTCTTTATCGCCTTTTTGTGTTTTTCTGCGTTTCTCTTTTTTTTGTCCGTTTATTATCAGCCATTTTTAGCCACATTTTTGTCGTTTTTTTGTTTTTTTTTAATGTTTTTTTTTTGCTCTTTTTAGTCGTTTTTTTTTTGTATCCTTCTTTTGCTTTGTCGCTTTCTTTAGTTGATCCTTTTTGTAGCCCCCTTTTCGTCTTTTCTCCTCTTTTTTTCTGACCTTTCTTTCTTCTCGAAGTTTTTGGGAATTTATTTTAGCCCATTTTTTGATAGCCATTTTTGTCGCTTTTGTTTGTCGTCTTTTTTAGCCCATTTTATTTGTTGTTTTTTATACACTTACTTTTATAAAATAACATAGTCGTGATTTATGAATCGACTTGATTTTTTTGTCATAGGCATCTAGATTTTAGCAAAAAAAATCAAAAACTTGTAACAGTATTTTATACTAATATGAAAGGAACGCTAGCAAGAGCCGATAACTCAGTTGGTTAGAGAGTTGTATTAATAAGGCGAAGGTCTTAGCTATATTTTTTTCTATAAAAATTGAGTTTGTACGTCAGGAGCCTTCTGTTTAATGATATAAGACCATTTTTAAATAATGTCGTCAAGTAGTAGGTTTTCTGTTATTTTTTGAACATACATAGTTTACTCTCGGGAAGAAAAAACTGAAAGCTTATGTAGTTAAAAATGTTATTGTTAGATGTTTTTGTTGAAGTTTTACTTTTAAAACTGTTACTCGCTCTGGCAGAATGATTAACTGATTACCTGATCTGTTGTTTTTTCTTTTACTATTATTGTTGATATATTTTTTACGTATTGATTTTTCATTAATATACATTTTTTTATATAAATGCAAGGTTCTTTTCGTAAATAAATAAACAAATCTAATCACACTTATTTGGATTTATTACGCCGCTAACTTAATTTGAAGAGAATAATAAAATAAAAAACACTTTCTTTTGTAGAAAATCCTTTATTGAAATTTAAATTTCCTCTACAGAATGATCAATGACCTGATTTTCGAAGTTCATTAACTTAATGAAATTCCCAATCTTGCTACAGCTACAATCCAGAAATTCTGCTCCTGTTTTCACTCTTCTCACACTTTTTACAATTCATGGAAGTCGAAATCCTGCAACCTGCAACAACAAAAAAAAACACATTACTATACGATTCTACGTCTTGGCGAATATTCTGCGCAATATACAGAGTATTTTTTAACGAAGCGTTGCAGTTGCCTCCGGTGTTTAATGGCTGGGAGATAGTGAAGACAGACAGCTAGTAAACAGAAGTAATAAAAACCTACACAAAATTTAAAATTTTTATAGGTCACCACAGATAATAGATAAACACACAATTTGCATTGCTAATGTGGTGTTTATATCACATGCTTGAGCATTACATAGGTAGACAGCATTTTTGTTAGACAGGTATGAAGACAAAACAAACTAATAAAAACTTAACTAACCGTTGATAAAAAATTAAAATGCAAATTTTGATTGTGTCTAATGAGATGTGGTGGTGTGGGTGGCGAAGAGACTTTTGGAATTTCGTCACGTTATTTTAATTACCCATTAAAACGTGAAATGTTGTTTATTTTTGTAATATTTCATTCCGATTGAGGGACGGTGCAATGAAGTTTTTAATTTTTTATTTTTCGCGACGGACAAATATTGGGTTTTTCTATGGGTTAGAAGGTTTTTTCCGACGGAAAGTAATAACCCAGAGCCAGTGAAAGCAAAAGTAAATACCTACGCATTATGTTTATAAATATTCATTACTGTTAATGGGGCTACCTGTGCGAGATTTAATTCAAGTTCAAAGAAGTTTTTTCTGACTTGAGAATTCTTTAATCTTAGATTTGTACATGATTTACCGTTTCTTCTTTACTTTCATAATTTATATTAATGGTGTAAGAAGTTCAAGGGACGCTCTAATAATAATCAATCTAAATGACCTTTAAAACCCACTTTAATAAAATAATAGGAAGCATTGATTAATTAGTATCTAGATTCTTTCTATTAATGGAACACCTTTGAAATTCTATTTCAAACTGAGCGCTGAAGTAATTTTTGATATTTACAAAATTATTTTTATTATAGCAACAATAATAATATTTGAATAATATGAATATTGAAATATTTTGTAGTATATTACAGGTAAAATAACTACACTTGCTTATAAAAACAAACTCCTGTTTAATTTTATCACATAAGTGTTTTAAAATAAATTTTAGGCGTATCTACTTTTCAGTTTTAGCAACCACAAACAGTACTTCTCTACAATTTTTTTTATCTCTTATAATGTCTCTAATATTTTTACATTTATTATTAGTAAGTACTAGATAGGTGTATAACTGTCTTTATTTATATATTTTTAGTGCATAAAATGGAAAATTATTATTAATTTATACATGATGTAATACGTAAAGGTATTGCTATTAACATTAATATTACATTATTTACTTTGGTCATATGCTAAACAATTAGAAGTTCTATAGGGTCTTCCGGTTTGGCTTATTGTATTTATTTTGCGTTTACGTTACTGTGATTCTTTTTTCACATAGTCTTATTTGTTTATAATTTTACATTATGTAAATTGTATTGTGTTGGCTGGAATATTTTTTTATTTATGCGAAACTTAATATTAAACTTATAGTTTCCCCAGTTCTAATTCGGTTTTATGATAGTAGCCCATTCTGTAAAAGTTACCTTCCTTAACAATAGATTAGTATTGCCGATGATGGGAAAGTTATAAATAAGGATTTAACCATGCCGTTACCACTATACGGTATAATGGTTAAATCCTATTACACATCATAAAATCGAATTAGAACTGGGGGAACTATATTTGTTGTTTATTACACTAGAGATAAAATTTAAACTTCAAATTCAATTTCAAAGTCGTTGATATTCCTTTAAATCTCACTTTTGTTTTTTATTAAACATTTAAGTAGAATCGCTGTAGAATACTATTTTATTATTTACTTTAGGAGAAAATTAAATTTACCAACGGAAAGTGTCAAAGTGGAGAAAAAATGTAAAATGTAGGAGTATAAAATTTGATTTAATAATAGTTGCTGGAATTTTGACAGCATTTTTGACACTAGATACCTTTTAACCACAGTTTATTGACATTTTAATGTTTTTATACTTTTTATAGTATATTAATATTTTTTCCAAAAAATGTGTCATAAAAATCAAAAACTATTGGAGTGTTACTAAATTTTTGTTTTGTATTACGTATTTAAAATGTAATTAGTTATATTGGTACAGTGGTATAACATTTTCTTTTGTTATAATAATGAACAACAAATTTTGACGTGAAACCATCAAAATATGTAGTTTGAAACTAAGTACACAAATTTTAACCTTGGTTCCACAAGAAACGCGTTAGATTTTTACTTCCCGGGTGTAAGATATTCATATTACAGTACAATATTATGTTTTCTCGACGTTTCATAACCCCTAGAGTATGAAAAAATAGGTTCCCCATTTCCGTCTGTCTGTCTCCCATTTTCGTTTGTCTGTCGTCTGTGTCGATTTTTATTAGGCAGATAATCTCCGAAACTACCAGACCGATTGCTGTCAAATTTTATGATTGTGTGTTAGAAATACCGTGTATAATGTGGTAAAATTCTAACCAAAAACAGTCGATGTTAAGCATGTACTGACAATGTTTTATGTGGAAAAATTATCATAGGTGAGAAAAGCCCAACGAATGTTGTAACTAAAACGCAGGTTTTGAACAACGTGAAAGTTTTTATGAATCAACTCAAAGATCAATTTTGCTAACCCAAAAATGAATTAAAAAACTGACATAAAAATAGTCTGTGGTAGTAGGAGACATAGATATATGGTAAAAAATTGATCCAATGTATTATACAGAACTTCCCTCGTCCCTGAAGTATAGTCCAACAAATCCAGCTTCTTCCTAAAATTATTAAATTTGATTTTGTCATTTTTAGTTTTTTATGATAACTTTTAAAAATTAAACTAAAGATATATGTGGGCTGTTAAAGCACAAGCAAAACATGCTATGCATGTGTTTCAAGTGAGTGTGTCCATTTGCAAATTTTGTGATGTCTGATGACGTCATCAACATTTTTTATATACTAATAAGTGTGTTTTCAAAATTTCGAAAAATGGACTGAAGAGTTTTGATTTTATTAACAAAGAAAGCTTTTTCATTAATTTTTTCTCGAATCGCCCTGTATAAGCAATTCTAAATCAAATGTACGGCTTTCAGAATTTACAATCTTTCTATAATAAAATTAAAATTTCGGCGGCCGTTGATTATAATGTACAGCGCTCGGTATTCAAAATTGATAAAGTACAGAACTTACAAGTACGGAGACCGTCGGATATAAACCGTACTAGTCTGCAGGTCTTTTTAAAAGTACGGCTACTACTAATACAAAAATTCAAAAAATCTGGACAGCTGGGTTAAAAAATAATGACGGATTCATAAACCACAAGTACAGGAGTATGTTATGTTATAAAATTTAAATACCATTTACCATGCGAAATTTTGAGGTGATGTTTACCAAATTGTTGGGGGAGATTCGACAAATTGGTGACGTTTGACCGACTACATGATATTCCGAAAATCGATTTAAATTTCACTACAACCAGTCCAACAGTTTCGAAGATTATCGATGGAATACAATCGACATTGACAACAGTCAGACGGACGATAAACGGACGCAGACAGACGACACACAAATGACAGCTGAAACGGTGACCTACTTTTTCATACAATATAAGTCATGAGACGTTGAGAATACGTGAAATTAACTGTCCGACGGATGGATTCTATTAGCTTCCGATCGGGAAGTACCTAACAAAGGAAAGAAGTACCAAAATAATAAATCTCGAATATAGAGGAGTTAAGTCCATAATTTAATTTGTGCAAGTGTGTACAATATAAAATAATATTAGTACGCAAATTTGGGGATAAACCCAAGGTAAATGCTAACACACATTATTCCATGCAGTGAGAAGAAAAATTCTAGAGAAAAGTTAAACCTCCACAGCAATTGTAGATATAAATAAATTTAAACTTTAAGTTAGAGCTGATTTTATTTAATTAGAATTTCACTGCTTATAAATTCTACACGCTAAAAATGTCCTCTTAGGTAAAAGTACGTATATTTTATTAAAAAAGTGTATTTCCTTATTTTTTATTTACTCATGTATTTTTTTGACGGAGAAAATGAACGTTTTCCACAACTGTGGGCAGAAGTTACTTGAGCTTTTTTTAGGAAAAAAATTGTTAAGATAAACAATTAAACGTCTAGTTAATCTTCACTGTGAACAAGTTACACATTTTTGATAAAACAAATTAGCACCGATTGACAAACTAAGTAGAAAAATCTCTAGAATTATGAATAATAGTCACGTAGAAAAGGTAAATGTCAGAATTAATTGATGAACTGATTAGAAGTAATAAAATGATTTTTGAACACTTTGTACATTATGCATTATTAAGATTTTCACAGCAATATACCGGGTGTCTGGAAAATGGCGGATTAACTTTCTGCTACGCTCTTAACAATTAACTGGTGAGTCTGGCAAAAATAGTAAAAAAAAAATCCTTCTCACATTTTTTGGTGGAGTTATAATGACTTTAAAATTGGTTCTTTTGCTACGTTTAACAATTAAACAACACATTTTTTATCACAATAACTAGTAATAAAACTTTTTAGTAAATATTTCTCTCGCCTATGACCATGTTTAATTACCATTTCAGTTAGAATGTACTGTTACGAAATACACCCTTACGCCGCCTCGATACGACGCCTATGGCCCTCGAGAACTCTCTGGTCTTACGCCGATAATGATTCATCCTCAATGCGACTGAGCGACGGAGCACTAAAGAAACGCCTGAAAGCAGAAGTCGCGAATGGGGATTCCGGAGAAGTTTAGAAGCAGTGACGTAGGGTTTCGAGAAGGACCGCCTGCTGTTTAAATACAGTCAAGAAGCCGAGTCCAGCGAGTGAGCGAATTTATCGAAGTGAACCACGAAGTTATGCTGTACATAATCGCTTTAATAGTTAGTCGTGCAATTCGAGTTATTAAGAAATAAATTGTTGAGCTTAACCCACGGCAATTTTATTCGCCCGTTCAACGTAACAGTA